AGGACTTCTAATACAGTATTGAATAGAAGTGGTGAGAGCAAGCATCCTCATCTTGTTCCTGATTTCAAGGGGAAAGCTCTCAGGCTTCTTCCAGTAGGTATCATGCTAGCTGTTGGCTTTTCATATATGCCCTGAACTGTATTGAGGAATTTCCCTTCTATTCCAATCTTCTTCAGGGTTTTTGTTAAGAAAAGGTATTGGATTTTATTAAATGCTTTTCTGCATCCATAGAGATGATCATGTGGTTCTTTTCCTTTGTTCTGTTGATGTGCTACATTACATCAACTGATTTTCTAATGTTGAACTATCCCTGTATTCCTGGAATAAATCCCACTTGGTTGTAGTGTATGACTCTTTTAATACGCTGTCGGATTCCATTTGCTAGTATTTTGTTGAGGATTTTTGTATCTAATTTTGTAAGAGATATTGGCCTGTAGTTTTCTTTTTTTGTGTTGTCATTGGTTTGGGTATCAGGCTTATGTTTGCTTCATCGAATGAATTCAGGAGTAGTCCTTCCTTCTCCATCTTTTAGAAGTGTATTGTGTGCGTTCTTCTCTAAATGTTTGTTGGGGTTCCCCAGTGAAGCCACCTGGTTCAGTACTTTTTTTTCCTTGGGAAGTTTTGATCACTGATTCCATCTCTTCACTTGCTATGGGTCCGTTGGGACTTTGTTTGCTCTTGAGTCGGTTTCGGTAGGTTGTATGCTTCCAGAAATGTGTCCATTTCATCTCTGTTATCTAGCTTGTTGCCATTCAGTTGTTCATATGATTCTGTCATCCTCTTCATTTCTATTAGAGTCAGTTGTTGAAATGTTGCCATTTTCATTTTTTATTTTGGTTATTTGCATCTTTGTCAGTCTAGCTAAATTTTGTAAATTTTTTGATCTTTTCGAAGAACCAGTTTCTGGTTTTATTTTTATTGTTTTTCGGTTTCTATTTTATTTATTTGTGCTCTGATCTTTGTTATTTCCTTTCTTCTGGTGGGTTTAGGCTTAGTTTGCTCTTCTCTTTCTAGTTCCTAGAGTTGTTAAGTTAGGCTGTTAATTTGAAATCTTTCTTCTTTTTTTTTCATGTAGGCCTTCATTGCTTTAAGTTTACTTCTGAGTACTGCCTTTGTTGCATCCCATAAATTTTAGTACGTTGTGTTTTCATTTTCCTCAATGAAATTTGTGATTTCTTCCTTGGCCGTTTGTAGTTTAATAGTATGTTGTTTAATTTCCATATAGTTGTGTATTTTCCGCATTTTTTTCTGTTTATGATGTCTTACTCTGTTGTGGTCAGAGAAAATAGTTCATAAGATTTCAGTCTTTTTAAGTTTATCAGGACTTGCTGTACGACCTAAAATATAGTCTGTCCTGAAGAATGACCCATATGCACTGGAATAAAACGTATATTGTGCTGTTTTGGGGTGGAGTGTTTTGTATCTATCTGATAAGTCTAATTGGTTTATAATGTCATTCAGCTCCTCTGTGTCCTTGTCAATCCTCTCTCTGGGTGTTCTGTCCAATATTGAAAGTGATGTACTGAAGTCTCCAGTGTGTATGTTGGTGTAGTATGTACTATGTTTCTCTCTTCAATTCTGTGTTTGTTTTATATATTTAGATGACCTGATGTTGGGTATGTATATACTTATGATTGTTAAATCTTCTTCATTGACCCTTTCATCACTGTGTAATGACCATCTTTATCTCTTCTGGCATATTTTGTCTTAAAGTCTGCATTGTCTCATATCAAATCCCACCCCAGCTCTCTTTTTATTATTATTTGCATGGAATATTTTTTTCTATCATTTCACTTTCAACCTATTTGTGTCCTTGGGTTTAAGGTTTGTTTCTTGTAAACAGCTTATTGTTTTAGATCCTGGTTTTTTTTTTTTTTGTCTATTCTGCCACTCTCTGCATTTTGACTGGAATGTTTAGTCCATTTATGTGCACTGTAATTGCTGATAAACAAACCAAACACACTGCTGTGGAATTGGATTTAACTCATAGCGACCCCTCCTTCGTTTTCCAAAGTGGTATCACTACAGAAGTAGATTGATTGCCCAGTCTTTCTTCCGAGGAGTGGCTGGTGGGTTTGAGCTGCCAGCCTTCTGGTTAGCAGTCAAATGCTTTAGGCACTACACCACCAGAGCTGATAAGAAGTGATTTACTTCTGCCATTTTGTTATTTGTTTTTTGCAAGTTATCTTTATTATATTTTTATGTGTCATCATGTTGATTATAGTGAGCCTTTTCAGTACCCTCTCCTTGCCTTTTGTGTGTGTTTTTACTATAGTTTCTTCATGGTTACCATGAATATTACATTTAACAGCTTGTATATATAACATTCTGGTAAGTTGGTCCTTTATTCCTTTTGAAAAACAACATATGTTTTTTTTCTTATTTACAAAGATAGTCCATCGTGAGTGATATTGGAATATTCAAATAGTATAACAGGGAAAAAAGCAAGAAATTCAAATCACCCCTCCTCATAGCCTACAACCATTAGTATCAGTAGAACATTCTTTCAGGTTTTTGCTCTGTCTGTTCACACATGAAAACAGTTACCTCCACACACATGGCATCATGTATATGTTGAAATGGGGTTTAGGAAAAGAAGGGGGAGAGGGCCTGGCTCTTCTCCTGAGGGGAGCTGTAGTGTGGAGGTGGAAGGAAATGTGGCTCATGGGGACCTGCGAGGGGTTCAGGGCAGTTGGGCTGTAGTGTCAGAGCCAGACTTGAAGGTCTTGTGTGCCACACTGATAGTGTTTGGGCTTTATTCTGCAGGGAGTGAAGAGCTGCTCAGGAGTTTTAAGCGAAGGATTATCACATTCTGATCGGGGTTTTAGAAGAGACTACTCTGGCCACAGTGGGGCACAAGGGCTAGAGAGGCTAGGTGGCTGGTGTAGTAATTAATTAATCCAAGGAGATGAGAGGGCCTGGGCTACATGGGCCAGTGTGGAAATGGAAAGGAAGAAGTGGGTTGGGAAGAAGAATGGGCAGGTCTTGGATATAGGTGGTGTTGTTGGGGCAGAGTTCTCCTTTGCTAGTGGCAGCACTCTGGCTGGGGACTTGGAGAAAGGGGCAGGCCTGGTACACAGACACGTTTCCAAGAGGCAGAGAAGCCTGAAAGAGTGTCCTCTTGGGCATTCATGAAGGAGCCATCAAAGAAACGACCCACAGGGGTGCTTACCCACCAGATCTCAGGTGCTACTCCTGACAGCCCAGGGAGGGGTGGGCTGAGGAGGACCCAGTGGCTCGGAGGAGACAGGTGACACCCCTCCCACCCACAACTTCCCACAGACAGACCAGAACTCAGGCTCCTAGCTCCTCGCCCCATCACTGTGTCGGTTACTGGAGCTAAGATGCAGCCGCAACCATCCCCTCTCATCTTCCACTTTCTTCCAGGGAGCCCTAAAGATCTGTCTCGTCTGGTCCCCAGGAAGTCAGCCTCAGGCCAGAGACCAGAGAGGGGTCTTCTCATTGTGTGCAGAGAAACTGAGGCCCTGAGTAGGCCTGGGGTGTGCCTAGTGCACATGGATTTCTCTTCTAGAAGCCAGGATGAGAGGTGCCTTGTCACCCTGGGCCACTGCTCTCCCCTCCAGCCTCAGCTGAGTGTTAGGGAGAGAAACCTGCTGCAAGACTTTGCTGTATCTGAGAGTGTGACGGGCCAGGATGTGTTGGCTCACAGGGAAGCCCTGCGCCTAGCTGGCAACCAGGGCTTCCTGGACAGCAGACAGGGCAGATGACAGAGAAAACTCTCCACCCAGTCAGCTCCTCCTTTCCTGCCAGCTCAGGGCCAGCCTGTGCACCCCTTGCCCCCCATTTTCTTGGTGAGAAATGGCAGCTTCTTGTTCCCAGAAAGCTGGAAGTTTACTGGGTAAGCAGCATGGTGAACTGAATGTTGGTTGGCAACATCCCCAATTATGTGGTACAGTATGGCTTCTTGGTGGGACCCACTATCACTACCCCAAATTGGACTCCCCTGGACCACAACTAAAGCTATGGGATGGGGCATAGCTAAGCCCCCATCCCACATGCTCCACAGTGCTGGCATCATCCTGCCCCCAGATTCCTGGAGTGACCCTCGGTGTCCTGGGGGAGGTTCTTGAGCTTCCTCTGACTGGGAGCACTGTCTCCCCACTCCCAGTACCCAGACAGACACACACACAGATCAAGACCAGGCCAGGGAATTTCCACAGGTGTTTCCTCCCCATCCCTCAGGATGTCACCCGCAGGATCTCTGCCATTGGTGTGGTAGAAACGAGAAAGCCGGGCTGGTGATTTAGCCCTCATCCTCCCCTCCTACCCTGAAACGGGATCTGCAGTACTTAGGGCACATCCTGGTTCCTCTCACATTGTACCAAAACCAGGTGCTTGAATGTCTGTCCCTCACTAGACTAGGGTTGTAGGACAGAGGCCACATCCTCCACATTCTTGTCCCCAGCACTGTGGTCATTCAGCAGGGTAGGTAAGGACACAGGCTTTGGATCCAGACTGCTGCGTTCAAACCCCAGCTCTATCACTTATTAGCTGTGCAACCCCAGACGTTAATTAATCCCTCTGTGCCTGTGTTTCTTTTCTAAGATGAAGATTATAATGTACCAACTCTGTGAGGACAGAATGAGTTAATATCAATAAAGCTCTTAGTTGGTACCTGGCACCAAGGGTTAGCCTTCCTCTTCCTCTTAGTCATCATCATCATTATGTGTTTACTATGTGCTGGGTCCTGTGCCAAATTCTTCAAATAAATTACCTAATCCTCAAAACAACTGCATTTCTCACGTGAGGAAACCTGAGGCTCAGAAAGGTTAAGTAGCTCAACCAAGGTCACAACAGCTAGTTGTTACCTGGAAGACCAGTCCCAAGCTTAGGCACATTCACCCTGCACTCCTAACCATGACCTGGTACAAGGTAGGAGGGGTTTAGGCCTGGTTAGCAGCTGAGGGAATGAAAACAAACAACAGGTTGGACCAGGTCTTAGAGATTCTTCAAAGGAATTTCTTCTGTTTTCTTTGAAGACTCAACCACAGAAATTATCTCTTGGAGTTTCCCCACAAGTACAGCATTGCTGACCTCCAGCAGGTAAGATCGCCTGCCCCTCCTCACTCCCCGACCTCTCTCGAGGGAGTTAGTTCCTAGAAGGATTAGAGGAGATGGTGAGGGGGTGCAATCTTGAGCTTCTCAGTACCTCAGAATGGGTCTGCTGCCTGCCTCAAGCTGCCTGGGGCAGCAACAAGCCCCCAATCCCCCTTGAATAAGCAGGGCCTTCAGCAAACCCCAGGATCCTGAGCCTCTTCTCTGCATCTGGACTCCTCCCCTTGGCCTGGAGGGTAAGGGGCAGAAGGGCCTCAAGACACTCCTTCCTCCAGGGGGAGACGATAGTATATTTGGGGCTTATCTGTAAATCCTGTGATCCCCCAGCAACCTCAGTACTTGAGGGCTGTATGTCTGCTCAATCTGATTTAGGGGGTTTGCTTGCCCAAGATGGACCTTGGGGTTGACATTCTCCAGGCAGGCTGCCCCAGGCAGCAGCAGGCCCCCTTTCACTGAGCTTCAGCACTGCTGCCTAAAAGGCCTGGTGGCCTGCGCTTGCTCCCACAGATTGCAGAGGGCATGTACGAAGGATTCCTCAAGGCCCTGATTGAGTTCGCCTCCCAGCACGTCTATCACTGCGATCTGTGCACCCAGCGTGGCTTTATTTGCCAGATCTGCCACCACCATGACATCATCTTCCCCTTTGAGTTTGACACCACGGTCAGGTATGCAGGACACCCCACCCTACACCAGCACACCCACAGGCTGGCCCGAGTGTCCCAGGGTGGCAGGCCTGGTTCCATCTTGCAGGAATGTATTGAGCATTCACCCTGTCAGTGCTGATGGGTGGTAGAGGTCAGTCAGGGCAGCTCTGATCCAGCTCAGGGGATAAGACAGGTCTTCACGAGTCTCCACTGAGTTGTCTGCTTGTTTTGAGAAAAAGTGGCCGCAGGCCTTCTGAGTGGCAACCTCTCAGGGTCTCAGTCTTGTCATCTACAAATGGGTTGAGGGGGGATTAAAAGAGTTAACTGCCCTGGAGTTGACATAGGCCTGGCACCTAGGGGTGCCTGTGGATGGTACCTGCTGCTGTCATTAGTATCTTATCCCAGTTACTGCTCATTTATCTGAATGCATTTAACAGCATGCTCAGCAGCTATAACTAGAAAAGGTAACTACTGAACCCTCATCCTGGTCCAGGTAGGAAAGAAACTGAACAAGTTGGAGCATGAATTCATCTTCAGCAGGTGTTCCCTGACCAGTATCAGCCCCTGAACAGGCCTAGGGCTGAGTTTTTACAGCTGCACAGTATTTAAACAAAGGCAAGAAATTAGTTTAGTGAGTGTCAAAGAGCATTTTTCAAAATGAGCTAGAATAGAGACTATCAGAATGTTTTGCACCGTTTACTGGCGAGCATTTCACAAATCTTTTGTTCCAAATGGAGAGGTACTGCCTTCATGCACTGGCTTGCGGAGTCAGATGCAGCCTTCCTGGGTCCTGGTGGACAGTCCTAGCCAGCACCAGGCCCCAGGGAGGCCTCCAGCCCATTCAGCACAAGCAGCACCCGCTGTTCTCCCCCCAGGTGTGCCGAGTGCAAGACTGTCTTCCACCAGAGCTGCCAGGCCATGGTGACCGAGGGCTGCCCCCGCTGTGCTCGCCGGCGCAAGTACCAAGAACAGAACGTTCTCACCTAATCCTAGCCTCCTATCCCCACCCTGGAGGCCACGGGGCTGAGGGTGCAGGTCAGCCATCCCAGCTGGACTTGAAGTCAGCCTAGGCTACTCTGTCTCAAGGTGTTGCAGGTGTCTCTCCTTGTCAGGGAGACTTACCAGATGTGAGCGGAGCAGGAAGCTCTTGGAGAAAGCTAGGGAAGCCCCTCACAGTACCCCCCTGCTCCCCACCACCCATGCACTGCAGGAGGCAGAGCACTGTCACATGCCCTCTTCCCTGGGCCCTTTGCAGTCATCAGGTCTGGGCTCACCTCACTGTCACCGGCGCCTCTATTAGGGCTGTAAAAACACTGTGGAAACAAGACTTGAGGAACATTTTCAACTCTACATTCCTGATTAAAAGGTCTAGTTTTTTTAAGGTGGGTTTTTTTTTTCCCTTCATATTTCAACAGAAAATATTTTTTTATTCTTGACTCTACACAAGTCACCCAAGAAAGCCAGGCATTCTCACCCTGAGCGGGATGTGTGGGAGCTGCTCGGGCTGCCCTGAGGCTGGCAGGGGGGCTGGCAGGTAGGCCCCAGTGCCCTTCCTGTGTCCTTGCTGGGCCCCGACAGTTCAAGTGCAACGTGCCAAATCACCTGTCAGGCAGGACTGGATTGTCCCCACACACCCCTCTTCCACTCTCCCCTCCCCTGCCCATCCTCCTCACCTGCCCCTTTTCCCTAGCGCTCT